GGACAAGCTCAAAATACTGGCCTTTATACCCCTTTGCCTGTTCCAGATACAATATGGCAAGATTTTACAATGGATTTTGTTCTCGGTCTCCCACGAACTCAACGGAGAGTTGATTTTGTTCTGGTCATAATTGATCAATTTCTAAAAATGGCTCACTTCATTCCTTGTAAAAATACTGCAGATGCTTCTTATGTGGCTAATCTAGTTTTTCGCAAGATCGTTCGCTTACATGCCATCCCTCGTTCTATAACTTCTGATAGAGATGTAAAGTTTCTAAGTCACTTCTTGAGGACATTGTGAAGAATATTTGACACTTCTTTGAAGTTTAGTAGCACAAGTCATCCCTAGACAGATGGTCAAACAGAAGTGGCTAATCGAACTCTTGGCAATATGATTCGAGCAGTTAGTGGAGATAAACCAAAACAGTGGGATGTTGCCCTTCCACAAATTGAATTTGCTTTTAACAGTATGCTTAATCGATCTACCATGAAGCCTCCTTTTGAAGTTGTTTACACCAATGTTCTAAGGCACACAGTAGATTTGATTCGACTTCCTAATGTCAATTCTAATGCAGAAGAGTTTGCTGAACGTATTCAAAGAATTCATCAAGAGGTAAAACAAAATTTAGAAGATGCTAATATCCGTTACAAGACTGCTGTCGACCAACAAAGGCGCCTTAAACTATTAAACGAAGGTGATTTAGTGATGGTCTATCTCAGAAAAAATCATTTTCCTGTTGGCACTTACAATAAGCTTAAAGATAAGAAGATTCGTCCTTTTCGCATTCTTCAAAAGATTGGTGTACTGCTTAGAAAGTTGATCTTCCATCAGATGCGAACATTTTCAACACTTTTAATGTTGCTGATATCTATGAATACTTTCCTCCACATGAATTTTCCTTGCAAATACAAAACTCTCCTTCAAGTGAAGGGGATTGATGTAGTATAACAATATGTTTTATCTCTTTAGAATTTTATTTTCTATTTAGTTCTTTTGTAATAGGACTTTATATTTTATTAGAATTATAGTTTCTTTATTGAGTTTTAATTCGATTAGACTTAGTTTCCTAGTTTCCTTATTTCAATCTCCTAGTACTATTAGGAATATGAATAATTTACCTATAAATATAGGACCATTTTATAATTTTCATTCATTCATTCATTATCAAATCAATCGAAGCAAGTTATCGTATATAGTTTTCATATTTCTTTCATTACGATTCTTATTACGAGAATTTTATTATCACTTCCGCACCAAAATGTCATGAAATGTGAACAACAACCAAAAAAGCAATGCCTGATTCCTGATTAACTTTTTCTTGGCTACAAAGAACTTTTTTTCCCCCGACTTTCTGCATGTATGCTAAGCTAAAGAGAACGTGGACTTATTTTTCTTAACTTCCAAGAAAAGTATAATTTTGTACTTCAAATCCAAAAATAACTTCCTCAAACTTATTTGTCACAAAAGTTTCACAATGCCAAAATAATTTCAAGCCAAAGAAAATGTTTGGAGAAAACAGTAACTTATCCATTTTAAATCCTTCTTTTATATATTTAACTTTGCTAAATTTTATTCATCATTTCACTTTATTTTCAATGTATGGATTTAGGTTAAAGCCCGGAAACGGCTTTCAACTACTGTTCTTCATGAAAGGGTGAAAGTTCTAGATGACCATCAAACTGGTAATGTGTTTCAGGGATTTAAGCCTCTTGCTTCCGCTGCAGAACTGTGAGTATTATCTGTTCTTTTCAGTTTGTTTTCAGGTCTAAATGTCCAAAATTTGAACTTACTGATGGTCTGGGCATTTTAACTTACTCAACTCATGAGTTAAAAGATTCAAAATTTTAGGTTTATAAATTCAAATTTGGCACCTAATGCTTATAAACCTTAGTTTACTTGAGGAAGCTGACCACGTCAGTTTTGTTGCTTTGTAAATTTATTGTCATAACAGAATGTATTTACATATAAATACTTCTTTGGTATCGAAAGTAAACAAATTTTACTCAAAAAAGTATCATGCTCCTTCACCACGTGTCCAGGGACTGTTCAAGATTTAGTGAACACCGTACAGCCGAATTAGATCTAAACAAAGCAAGTCATAAGTTTTTCGTTTGATGTTTTATTGGTAGGGAATTAACTTTAATAATAGGTTTGAAGAGATCGTGCTTCAGTATCTAATTTCTTGGTGACAAAAAATAATGGGTGGAGGCAGATGCAAATTCAAGGTGTTTTTTTTCATAGTTTGGCTAGTCCAGGAGAAGAATGTGATTGATAAGCTGAAAGGGAAAGATGAGCGTCTTTGGTTAATGAAAGAAGAAATAGAAATGGAGATGCACTTAGTTTGGGAAAGATGTACTCCGAAAATGAATGTATGAGATGGGGTGTGAAAGGTCTATAGATGTCGTATTTATGGGAAGATTAGATAATGGTAGAAAGACCGTGAGAATTGGAGGATGTTAGAGAGAGATTTTAATATTTTTTGGGTTTTTGTCTGGGTTTGATGGAAGGTTGTTGAGTATTTATTT